CCCCCCCCCCCCCCCCCCCCCCGGGGTGCCTCCAAATAAAGCTCTGACGCTGAATAACGCGTGGGGTCCGCATCTCCTTCCCGCTGGGTGGGGAGGGGGTCAGCTCTGCCCTTCTATGGAGCTTTCCACCCGGGGTGGGGAGGGGGGGGGGGGATGGGTAAGGTGCATTTAATTCCCGCATCGGGTGCCCGCTGGTGTGCTGTCGTACGTTTCCTGCCGCGGATTAATCGCGTCCGAAGCAAACGGCCCCTGTCCTGATGCTGCGTGCATCCATCCGGGCTCCTGCAGCAGCTGGGCACCGCTCCGGGTTTGGGGGAACAGGGACCCTTTGGGGTCTGCAGAGGGCACAGCAGGGGGATGTGGGGCTGTGGGGAGCCAGCTTGACACCGTGTCGTCCGTCCGTCCCCCCCCCCCCCTCATTACTGTGCCCCCATCCCCGCATAGAGCAGGGGGTGACCCGACCCCATCCGGTCTCCACCGGTTCCAGCTGCTGCCGTAATCCCCAACCTCTGCTCGGTGCCCTAAGGAGATTACCGAGCGTTGTAGGGCGGCAGCTGGCGGGGCGGATCCCGGGGGCCATAGGGTCCCCCCTACAGGGGCAACGCGGCCCCCGGTGCCCGTCCCGGAGCCCCCCGTAGCGGGGCAGCCCCCGTCGGAGGGCGGTCACCGGGAGGAGCGGCCGCACCCGCGGGCATCGCCCGGTCCCCGCCGCTCCCCGCCCCGACGTGCGCCGCCCGGGGCTCGGCACCGGCCCGTCGGTATGAACGGGGCTCCTCGGGGCGGTCCCGGGACGCTCCGTCTTCACCCGCAGCGCCGCCGTCGGGGCGCTCGCAGCCTCCGTTCGCCGCCCCGTTTCCCCCCGGCGGACTACAAGTCCCGTGCGCCCCGCACAGGCGCAGGGGCCGGGGGCGCGGGAGCGGGGCGGGGAATGATGTCAGCCTGCGGGGAGCCCCGGCGCGGCCAATGGCGGGGCGTTGCTGGCGATGGGGCCGGGCCAGCGGCGGCGGCGGGGGCGGCGGCGGCGGCGAGCGCGCAGCGCCGGAGGGACGCGGCTCCCATTCATGAGCAGCCGCGCGCCCGCCGCCCCGGGGCCGGGGCCGGTGGTGGCGGCGGCGGCGGCGGCGGAGAACGGAGCGGGAGACGGGCGGCCCGGACCGGTCCCGGTACCCGGCGGAG